GCATTCATTTCACCAGGGACTCCCGCCCTCAGTGCATACACACAGCACTCACACAAGGAAGGACAAGAAGGATCTGTTTGTTCTCCATAGGCCCCAAGTCGTCCTGTGGTGCCACTCAAGGATGTTACTACACAGAAAAGCAGAACGTGTGGTGCCAGAGAGAAAAGAGCGGCAAAGGGCACAACCGTCTGACCAGAGGATGAGGGTGGGAAGGAGAGCCAGCCCCTCCTGGCACACCACCGGTACTGTTGAGACTGCGAGGCCATTTCCAAAATGAGATGTTAACATGCCACAGACTGCCTGATCTTGCTGACATTTCTGGACATATCTGCAGCACACATTTTCCATCCCCGGGAAATTCAGATTTTTACACTGAGTTGCATGCCCATGTGCTTCTTTCATGGATGACCAATCAAATCAATGAATACTCACAGAAAATTTTATTATAGGCTGGGGATGTAGCTCAGTGGGTAGTGTGGCTGGGCTTGAGCTCCAGAGCTGCAGACACCAAGGATGGCCGTGCAGACCTTTAATCACAGCACCCGGTGAATGGAGGCAGGAGAATCAGAAGTTCAAAGTCATACTCCCCACATAAAAAGCTTGAGGCCAGCCTGGGCTCCATAAGACACTGTCTCAAAAAAAGAAGAGACAAAGAAAGAAATGTTTACTACACAGAAGTCATTTTTCTAAGCCCTCCCATGGAGGTGGACAACAGAGGGCTGTTTGTAGGCCGTTAGTTCATGGGGCCCGTACAGACAAACAACAAAATCCAATAGATCATAAGGTAATGATTATCAATTCTAAAGGCAAGTAACATAGGGCGGTGCAGTTGGTTTGGTTTGTCAGGCACTCTTGTAGCCCAGGCTGGTCCTCTGTTACTAAATAGGACTCTCAGGCAGCCTCACCCTGAAGACGAGCTGAAGGGAACTCATGGTTCATTTCTGCATCAAGCACCCTGCTTTGCAAACTGCATAAGGACACTCAAGGGCTGGGCACGTGGACACAGGCCCTTGAGCACTCCTAAGAAGCCCTGCTCTCCTCCAGGTGTGTCTGACCCATACTGCTTTGCTTTGGCATGAAGTTTCCTTGCTACTTTGCAAAAAAGAAAACATAAAAATAAAGTATCCGCAGAACCAGTGTATGGGGTACACAATCCAAGAAAAAAAAAAGCCACTGTTTGTTTTAGATATTCCTGCAAGAATTTCAAAAATGAGAAATGGTAGGGAAACATCAGAAATACAGTGTGTGCATGTGTGTGTGTGTGTGTGTGTGTGTGAGTCTGTGTGTGTGAGTCTGTGTGTGTATGGTATTTTATCTCTGTGTAGTGTGTGTGTATGTGTATGTGATGTGTTTGTGTGTATATGTATGGCATATGTGTGTGGTGTGGTATGTGTTTTGGTGTGTCTGTGTGGTATGTATATGTGTGTGATATGAGTGGGTGATATATTTTATTCTGTGTATGTGGAATGTATATGTGGTGTGTGGAGTGTGTGAGTGTATTTGTGTGTGGTATGTGTTTATGTATGTATATGTGGTATGTGTATTCAGTATGTGCATGTGTGGTATGTTAGTATGTGGTATGTGTTTATGTATGTGTATGTGGCATGTGTATGTGGTGTATGTGGTATGTGTGGTATGTGAGTGTGTGGTATGTGTGATATGAGTTTACTGTGTGTATTCGAAATGTATATGTGGTGTGTAGAGTATGAGCATATAACGTGTGTGTGGTATGTGTTTATGTATGCATATGTGGTATGTGTATGTGGTGTATGTGGTGTGTGCGCTGTATATATGGTGTGTGTGTGTGTAGTGTGTAAATGTGTGGCATGTGTATTATATGTTTATTGTGTCTGTATGGGATGTGCATGTGATGTCTGTGAGTGTGATTGTGTGTGTATGTGGTATGGGAATGTGTGTGGGTGTTGTGGTATGTGTTTATGTGTGTATAGGGTATATGTATATGGGGTGCTTACGTGTGTGAACACACTGGAAACTGAACCCAGGACAGCACATATGCTAACCATACATTCCACCACTGAACCGTGCCCCCGCCAGCCTACAGACAATACACGTTAACTAGTGCACATGCAGACAATGGTGATAAGAGCCTCTTTTGTGGAATTAAGGTCATGGCTGCCGAGAATGCCTGCTCATGGGCTCTTTGCCCCAAAACCTCCAACAGAAGTAATTAGGTTCCTCCTTAGGAAGTCAAAAGCATCTGACAGTATCACCTACTGTGTCTTTTCACCCAGCTTTTCATTGAAAAGGAAACGATGCTACTTTTGTTTATTGTTAGAATGACAGCCTGGGAGGTGCTGGCACAGAAAGAGCTCACTGTGTGTGGCCTATGTCCAGAAAACATGCGTGATTGTCTCCATCCTGAACGCCTACACTAACATCAGTATTCCACCTAAGGATACAGCTCAGCGGTAAAGGGCCTGCCCAGCAGACACAAGGCTCAACCCCCTGGCCACTAAGTAAGCAAACAAATAGATAGAATGTTATATAAGCCAGCCATGGAAGCACACGCCTGCAGTCCTAGCACTGGGAAGGCTGGGGCAGGACAACACGAGTTTAAGGCCTGCCTGGCCTATATGACATGACCCTGACCCAAAATAAACAAGCTAAAGTGGGTTTTTTATTTATTTTTGTTTCAGTTTGTTTGTTTACTTTGAAACAAGGTTCACTCTGAAGCCCAGGCTGTCCTAGAACTCACAGAGATCCACCTGCCTCTGTCTCTTGAGAGCTATGTTTAAAGTCATGCACCACCACACTCAGCAAGCAAGAGTGTTATTCCAAGCATGGAATGAAGCTGGAGGATTTGTAAGGTCATCTTACACTAGCGTGTGGTACCACACAGGCAATTCCGTCCTTCCGTCACTTCCTTCCCTAGCTGTTTGCATGCAGATGCCAGCAGGTGGCGCAAGACTTCTCTTTTCTTGCCTCCTCTGTTTTCCTGGATATTGGCAATCAAAATAAGTTCTGGTTTCTGGGACTCCACAGCAGGATTAATAATCTTCACAGTCCTCGAAGGAACAGATGTGATCCATCCAATTTCAATATATTAATAAGTTACAAGATGTGCGTGACCATGTTTCTCTACTGACCGTGGGATTGACATTCTCCACACTCAATTCACACAGTTCTGTGGGATGGTTTTAGTGGTGAGCCTCATATCCTTTCCTCTTGAATGAACCTTGGGGTCTCCTCTGCTCCCTCATATAGCCAATAAGAAGCCCTCATTCTCCTGCGTGCCCCTCAAAATGAATCCTGTGATATTTTCCAATTACCATTCTTCCTTCCATCTACCCTGCATATGAAGATGCATTACTATCAAAACCTGCTTCGATCTGCCTTATCCGACCTGAGTCCATTTTCTTACTGGGGGCCAGAGAAATGAGTCAGCAGGTAAAACACTGTACAAGACTCATGACCTAGTTCCATCCTCAGAATCCATGGAAAGAAGGAAAAAGAGAACAGACTCCACAGAATTGTCCTGGGACCTTTATACACATACTGTGGCATGCACGTGCGTGTGCACGTGCACACACACGAGAGAGAGAGAGAGAGAGAGAGAGAGAGAGAGAGAGAGAGAGAGAGAGAGAGAGAGAGAGACCTAGTTTTTACCTCCATCTTTGTCCCAGAATTCCACTGTGAGGATGTGTTGAGATCATTTGAACACCACGCTCAGAGAAACCTGAGGCCTGGGGGAAGAGACTGACAATTACTTCCTCACAGAGCAAATGAAGAATCTGAGTGTGGTGGGAAGATGTGACCACTCTTTCTGTAAGTGTCTTCAGAATTCTCCTAGGCTCTTGGCAGTGTTTTAAATAGTTGGCATTCGTCTAAAAGACACAGAAAGATAGTCAGCAGTTGTCCTGAGCAAGATAATGCTGCAGTTGTGTGTGTGTGTGTGTGTTACACGCACACACCCGTGTATACTAACCTGTGTGTACATGAGCTCTTCCAGAGAGCGAGGACACTGAGTCTTCCTCCATCACTTGCCTCCTTGCTGCATTTACACTGCATCTCTCACTGATCCTGAAGATAGACTGTCAACCAGCAAACTCCATTGACCCTCCTGTCTGCACCCCAGTAGCACTGGCGTTATAGGTGTGTGCACAGCCACATTGGGCTTTTTTTTTAAAGATTTTTATTATTTTTAAATACACACACACACACATTTATATATATATATAGTCTGTGCATGAGAGTGCAGTGCAGGTAAAGACAAAAAAGGAAGTCAGGCCCTGAAGCTGGAATTCCATGCAATTAAGAGTCACTCCACTAGGTGGATGCTAGGAATCACCTCAGTGCACCACTGAGCCATCTCTCCAGCCCCAACATGTGGGTTTTTGCAAGGATGCTGAGATCGAAACTCAGATTCTCTTGTGTTTTTACCTACTGAGTGTTTTTGCCTCCAGCCCTAGTGCTACGATTTTTTTTCATTTCTTCTTAGATGTATTTATTTTTATATTATGTATATGAATATTTTGTCTCTGTGTATTGATGTGTACCACAAGCAAACCTGGTGCCTGAGGAGGGCAGAAGAGTGTATGGGATCCTCTAGAAAGAAACTAAAGACAGTTGTGAGTCGCCATGCACATGCTGGGAACCAAATCCAGGTCCTCTATAAGCGAAGCCGGTGCTCTTAAGCCTGTGTCTTCTCTCCAGCTCCCTTCTCGGCTTTTGTTTATGTGCTGGTTTTGGCTGGACTGTGTTTCTTAGACAGAATGTTGGCTCTACAGATTATACCGGCCTCAGTCCACACTCATCCTACCCGGCCTCCCCAATACTGAAGTTACAGCCAAACCGCACCACACCATATTTCACTTTCACCAATGCCAAGTACATTGTGCTGGGCACATGGGCATTTTGATAAGTCTTACCACACATGTGTTTGATTCTAAAATAAGTAATTGCTGAGCAGTTTGCTGGGTTACCTTGTCTAAGCCAATGTCTGTTTTTCCTACTGTAGGTGAAAACACCGTTAGTCTTCCATGGAGTTGCCATTCACCAACCTGGAGGTGGCGTTCATTTTACTGGCTTTCTTCATCTTTTCCTTGTTCACTCTGGCTTCCATCTACACCAGCCCTAATGAGAGGAATGAAGGTAAAATGAAAGAGGGAGAGGAGAGCTTCCTGGACACTCTCTGTCTTTTCCTTCACATTCGTGCGTGTATGTGTGTACGTGTGCATGCGTGTGTCATTTACATGGGAAAGATCAGCATTAGGATTCCTTAGACAGATTCTTTGTCAGGGTCTGGAAATGTAGCTTAGTCAGGGCTAGGGCTATAGGCACAGCTGATATGGTGCCTGCCTAGCACACAGGAAGAGCTCAGAAGTGCATATACCTGGTACTGTGGTGACATAAATCTTTAATCCAGCACTCTGAACTAGAAACAAGAGGACCAAGAGTTCGAGATCTAGCCTGAAACACAAGAAACTCTGTCTTAAAAATTAATTAATTCTCATCAAAGCTCAAACATACAACAAATGTATTTTAAAACCCAATACCATGTTTTTGCCAGTAATAGCAAATGTTAAGATACAGGCATATCATCTAAATGAGTGTGCTAGGTAGTCTAGGATCCACCAAGATTTATGCAGAATAAATGATAAATTACTAGCATTTTGGAGACCCAAAAAATTATGCATGTATATATAAACACATCCCAAGGACATTTTGCATATTTATAGAGAGTAAGATAAACTCATAAACAAGTTGTGCTTGTAGATTTTTGGTTTTGTTTGTTTTGAAGACAAGGTCTCACTATGTAGCTGTCTTAGTTAAGGTTTTTACTGCTGTGAACAGACACCATGACCAAAGTAAATCTTATGAAAGACAACATTTAAGTGGGGCTACCTTATAGGTTCAGAGATTCAGTCCAGTATCATCAAGGTGGGAACATGGCAGCATCCAGGCAGGCATGGTGCATGAGGAGCTGAGAGTTCTACATCTTTATCTGAAGGCTAGCAGAATACTCACTCCCAGGCACCTAGGATGAGGGTCTTAAAGCCCACACCCACAGTGACATACAAACCATCACAGTAGCCTGGGGTGACCTAGAACTTATACAGACCAGGATGATCTTGAACCCAGAGGATTCTTTACCTCCCAAGTACTGACATTAAAGACATGTGCTAATATGCCTGTCTATCTTTGTGCTGATTTGGTTTGTTTTGAATTTTTATTTTTCATGTCCATGAGTATTTTGCCAGCATCTATGTATGTATGTGAACCACATGCCTCCCTGGTGCCTGAGAAGGTCCAGAGAGGCATTGCACTCCCTTGAACTGAAATTACAGGTGGTTCTAGGACCCTGAGTGGATGCTAGGAACCAAGCCCAGGTCCCCTGCCCTTCAGGAGCAGCAATTGCATTTAAACTCTGGGCTATCTCTACCCCTCCTGCCCTTGTTTGTGTGGGGGTGGATAACCAAACCTTTCTGTAGATTCTTGTTTTTAAGAAGTACTGTCTATGAAACAGATTATGTCTCAGAGATACAGATACGCAGTGCTTCCATAACTGATTAGAAACACAATTAGAACACAAAAGCCCCATCCAATTGGTACCCAGATGCCTGCTGATACCTAGTGTGGGAAGCCTATTTGGAACCTATAAAGCCTTGTTACTGTTTCACAGATTGTTTCTACTGTGCTGTTTACAATGAATTTCGACAGAGGTAAACCAAAGCCACAGTCACTCTAACTGGATA